GCAGGAGGGAGGAGACGCAGAGAGACGGGCGCACGGAACAGAAACGCAGCAAGAAAGGCCAGGCGTGGTGGCGCACGCCCGGCGTCCCAGCACTTGGGAGGCTGAGGCGGGAGGATCGCTACCAGTGCGAGGCCAGCCTGGGCCACCCGGGGAGACCCTGCCTCAGAAAAGGCAAAAGAAGAGCAACAAAGCTTCACGAAACAAAAAGCAAAACAAACAAACCCACTGTATTTCCACAAATGTCCCCTGATTCTTTAGCCCGTGTTTTAAAACCAGATTTTATTGCGGAGCGTGGAACCCAGGGCCAGTGCGTGGAGCTCCGTCTTCAGCCCCTAAGTTTTAGTTTTTAGTTTTTGAGACAGGTTTGTGTTGAGTCGCTAAGTTGCCCAGGTCGGGCTGGAGCTTGGGATCCTCCTGCCTCTGCCTCCCCAGTGCTGGGGTAACTGGCGTGCACCGCCCCGCCCAGGGTTTTGAGCTCGGGCTGCTGGTCTCCCTGGGGCCGAGCTCCGCGCTCCAGCTCAGGGCTGGTTTGTGTGCGGCGCCTCCTTGGACTCTCGGGAGCCACCGGCCCGGTGCCATCTCCGTGGCCCTGGCCACAGCACCCCGTTCTCCCCACAGGCTCTGACGCCCAGGACGCCCCAACCCTGCGCCTGTACGTCCTGGTGGTGCTGCTCACCCTCGTGTGCACCCTGCTCCTGGGCTTTCTCTTCACAAGGTAACCCCACACGCAGCCCGTCTGCCGCTGTGGCACCTGGGAGGGGCCTTTCTGACGGCGGGCTTCATAAAGGAGCTGCGTCTCGCGGCGGACGTGACGTGACCACACCTGGTTCTGTCTCCTCTCTGACCCTTGGTATGAGTGCGAAAGTGTTTCACAATCCGAGGTGTCACTGTATATTACATAGGCACCATGTATAGACCGTGGTGGAGTACTATGATGCTGTGAAAAAGGATGGAGCCGTACTCTCTGTGAAAGGAAAACAGGCAGAGAAAAGGCAGCGCATGTAGAAAAGGGCACCGTGCAGCCGTGAAAAAGGCCCAGGCCCTGCCATTTACCACAGATGCCGGCGGGATTAAGAAAAGGCAGTGTGCGTGTGTTTGCCGGAACTCTACACAACCACAGTGAAGGCTGAGACCACGTCATTTTCAAGGGAATGGACGGAAACCGAGGTCGCCCTGTTAAACGTCATGGAGAGGCTCGGGCACGAGCATTCCACGTTTCCCATAATGCGTGCAGCGTGGAACGCGTCCCCCGGGTGGGGCTGGGAGACTCGTCCCAGACCAGAGCGGGGACAGGGAGGCCCTGAAGAGGAGGAGGTGACTGGAAAACGTCAGATGCTGTGTGTCAGGCTGAGGACACGGCCCGGGGTCCCAGCCACCTTCAGCTGAACCTTTGTCCCCAGGTTTATTTGGATCCACGGTCTGTGCCCCCCCGGGCCCAAGATCAAAATGATGGATGTGGATAAAGTGAATCAAGAGGTAGAGTGGACGCGTGGGGCAGGGTGGGGACAGGGATGGCCAGCATCACCGCCGTCCACCCCGGGACATCTGCATCCTCTGGGGTCGGGTTGGGGGCTCAACTGTGAGCACACTTGGGGAAGTGGAGGAGAAGAGAGACAGAGACAGGGTGATGCAGGGAGACAGAGATTATGAGACACGGAAAGATGGGCAGAGAGCGATGTGGTGGCAGACCTCGGGACCTTTGCACATGCTGTGTCCCGCCAGTCCTCCGCACGACCCCTTGCTCAGCCGCTCGTGCCCCAGGACCCCGTCAGGGACGCACTGACGCCACTGTCCTCCCCCCGTCAGGTGCCCTGGGAGGACAACGCCCCGAGTGTTGAGAAAGGAGAGCAAGAGGAGGTGCTGACAGTGGAGGAGGTGTCGTGAGCCTGGCACAACCGGCGGCGGCGGCGGCGAGGAGCTTCCGTCTGCGCCACACACACTGCGGCGGGGGCGGGGCTTCGGGGCTTCGGTGTTCGCAGCGTTTGTGTTTTTTTTTAAATATTCTTTCGCAAATGTGCCCGTGGCCTCCTGGACCCTGCTGTCGCCACAGCCCCGTCCTCTCTGGTTGTTTTTCTCTTTCTGCCTTGGAGCAGGGGCCTTGGACCGAGCGCCCGCAAACCCTGCTCCCCGATCAACCCTCTGTCCTCACTGGTCGCCTTTCGTTGTTTTGTCTCCGTGACACCCGGCCGCCCGTCGTGTGTTCCGTGGCCGCTCAGGGAGGACCACAGGCGACCAGGGGTGCGGTGCCTGCCCTGTCGGCCTCCACCAACCAGATGATGTGGACGCACGGGGCCGGGGACGTTGTTTACTCAACCGCGCCGCAGAAGGGGCCGCGTCGTGCGGGCCGGGCAGCTGCAGGAGGGGACGGGGTCGAGGACAAAGCCCGTGTCGCTCGGCGAGGAGTCACAGGAATGCACG